GGATCCACTGGAGGCATGGCATCAGCGGACATGAATATCTGGAGGTCGGGGAAAGGTATCTGCTACATAGACAAGTCAAAAGGAAGCGGAGAGACAGGTGAGTGGTGGCCTAGAGGCCAGGGTTCTGGTTCTGGTGGTCAGTCCATTTCCTAGGAACCAGCCAATGCTGTAGGGATGTGTGTGTGTGTGTGGGGAGGGGCGGGGGGGCACTGTAGGGGTTGGAATGAACAGGAGGCTGCTGAAGGGAGGGGCCCAGCAAGGACCAAATGGGAGCTCAAGGCTCAAACTAGGTAGACTGAGTTAAGGTCAGATCTAATGGAGGACTGAGGAGCTATACAATAGAAACACAGTGTAGGCCACATATATAATTTTTTAAACTTTTAATTTTGAAATAATTATAGATTCACAGAAAGTTTTAAGGATAGTCCAGAGTGGTTCGATGTACTCTCCTAGTTTCCCCCAGTGGGTACACCTGTCACTATAGTACAGTATCAAAACCAGGAAAGTAACATTGGTGCAGTGTGTGTGTATATGTCCATGTCATTTTATCAGTGAGCTGATTCATGTCACCACCACTGCAGTCAAGATACAGAACTGTACTGTCATCATCTCTCTGGTGCCATTCCTTTCTAGTCACTCGTCACTCCACTTCCCTTCTCTCGCTGCCTCTAACCCCTGGCAACCACGAGTTTGTCTTCCGTCTCTTAATGTCATTTCAAAGATGTTATGTAAGTGGAATCGTCTGGTATGTCATTCTTTTGAGATGAGCTTTTTTTCACTCAGCATAATGCCCTTGAGATGCATCCCAACTGTTGTATGTATCGATAACCCATTCCTTTTTATTGCTGAGTAATATTTCATGGTATGGATGTACCTCAGTTTGTTTAGTCATTCACCTATTATAGTAGGACATTTTTGTCATTTCGGGTTTTGACTATTAGCAAGAAAGAAAAAAGCCTACTATGAACAATCAAGGGCAGGTTTTTGTGTGTACACAGTTTTCATTTCTTTGGGGTAAATGGCCAGGAGTGTGATTGCTGAGTTGTAGTGTTAGTGTATGTGTAGACTTCTTTTTAAAAGAAACTGCCTATTTCTCAGTGTCTGGGCCATTTTACATTCTACCAGCAATGTATGAAAGATCCAGTTGCTCCTTATTGTTGCCAGCAATTGGTGTTGTCACTTTCTATTTAATCTCTTCTAATGATATGTGGTAATACCTCATCCTGGTCTTACTTTGCATTGCCCAAATGGTTAATGATGTTGAATGTTTTTCATGCATTTATTTGCCAGCCTCTATCTTCTTTAGTAAAATGTCTCTTTGTGTCTTTTGCTGATTTTTCTAATTGGATTGTTGGATCCTTGCCTCATTTTCAATCTTCCAGAAAAAGTCTTTCACCTTTAACTGCAATATTAGCTATAGGATTTTTGTAGGTTTTGTTTATCAAGTTGAAGAAGTTCCCCTCTAGTCTTAGTTTTCTGAGAGTTTTTTTTTTTTAAATCATGAGTGAATATTGAGTTTTGTCAAGTGCTTTTTCTATATTAATTGATGTGGTCATGTGATTTTTTTTACTTTTGGCCTGTTAATAAGATGAATTACATTGATTTGTTTTTAAATATTAAACCAGCCTTGCATCCTTAGAATAATCCCCACTTGGCCATAGTGAATAATTATTTTTATATATTGATGAATCCTCATTGCCATTATTTTGTTAAGGATTTTTGTTTATATTTATGTAGGATATTGGTCTTTAATTTTCTTTACTCGTACAATCTTTGGTTTTGGTATTAGGTTAACAGTGTTCTCATCAAATGCACCTGGAAAGTGTTCTTCCTCTATTTTCTGGAAGAGATTGAGTAGAATTGTTGTTAATTTTTCTTTATACATTTGATAGAATTCTCTAGGGAAACCATCTGGGCCTGTGTATTTTAGGGAAGGTGAATTTTAAATTATGAAGTCAATTTCCTTAATAGTCTAGTGCAGTGGTTCTCAACCTTCTGGCCCTTTAAATCTAGTTCCTCATGTTGTGACCCAACCATAAAATTATTTTCGTTGCTATTTCATAACTGTAATGTTGCTACTGTTATGAATCGTACTGTAAATATCTGATATGCAGGATGGTCTTAGGCGACCCCTGTGAAAGGGTCGTTCGACCGCCAAAGGGGTCGCGACCCACAGGTTGAGAACCGCTGGTCTAGTGCTACTCTAATTATCTATTTCATATGGGGAAGTAATGGTAGTTCGTGCTTTACATAAAACTGGTCAGTCTCATCTAAGCTGTCAAATGTATGTGTGTAATTTTTCACATTTCCTTATTATCCTTTTAAAAAAATCTTCATTTGAGGGCATTCTTAAAGAGAGGAAGGAACAGAGGGCTAGAGAGAAACATTCAGTGTGAGAAACATTGATAGGTTGCCTTCCATATGTGCTCTGACTAGGGATCGAACCCACAACCCAGATATGTGCCCTGACCCGGAATCAAATAGTGCACAGGACAACATTCAACCAACTGAGCCACTCTGACCCAGCCTTAGCATTCTTTTGATAACTACAGACTCTGTTGTTCTTAGCCCTGGAAATTTTCCAGTCTAGTAGATAAAAAATGAGTCTTGTGAATTTAGTTTTCATATTTTTATAATAATTAGATGGATATCTTTGTGTTTTTATTTGTACCTTTGCCCTTTTTTCTCTTACCTGTGTATCTTTTTCATATTGATTTATAAGTGTTCTTTATAGATTATGAATACTAACCCTCTTCCTATCATATATAATATATAATCTTCCCAATTTGCCCTTTCTCTTTATTATGTTCTTTTACAGTTTCTTTTGCTCACCATACATGCTTTTAATTTTCACATAATGAAATCAGTATTTTCCTTGAAAGCCTCTGGGGTTTCATGCTTTATTAATAGTACTCAGTCAGTTTCAAGAGATAGAACTCAAATCAAACTAGCTTGAACAAAAAAAGGAAAGAAGGAAGGAAGGCGGGAAGGAAGAACAGGAAGGAAGGAGGGAGGGAGGGAGGGAAGGAAAGATGTTGGCTTATGTAACTAACTGGGCACTGTAGAGATAGATCTCTGCATGGCTGAATCAGGCATCTGAACAGTGTGCCATCAGGTCTCTGTGTCTCACCTCTTCTCACTGTTCAGCTTTGTCTATGTCTATGTGGGATATCATTTTTTCTAAAGCAGATAGGCTCTGTGTAATGATAAAAAGGCTGCTGGCAGCCCCAACCTTTCATTCTAATGATTTAGAATCCACAAATAAAAGACTTCTCAAGTCTGTATGTCATATCCCATGGAAGGACTCAGAATGACCCTATCTGGATGGTGTGCCCTCATCCGTCTTCTTGCCTTGAGCCAGTCCATAAAGATGAGTGATATGCCACGATTGGCTGTTTGCCCAATTCTGTGGCTCGTGAGCAGGTGGGGTACCTGTCAGGACCCCATGAAATAACAGCTCCCCAGAAGAATGATGAGCAGGTAGCAACCAAAGCAGTCATCTAAATATGTCACTGCTAGAAAGACCTTCTCTAGTGTAATATGATTTTTTAAAAAATAGTGTATTTCCTTCTAATATGTATGGTTTCATTGTTTTAAGTGTAAGTTTTGATCCGTGTGAGAAAGTGAGGGAGACAGAGACAGGGAAAGGGAGAGAACATGGTGTGAGGTAGGGATCTTTTGCTGAATGTTGTTATACCTGAAGAGAAGATGACCTTGAGACTTATTGGATCACCCATTTCACAGTTTGATCACTTTTTCTTCTGTTTCCCTCAAATCTATTCTGTATTAATACGAGTCTTGTAAGATTAGGATGATGGGAAAGACAAGGGCTTCATCTAGCACAGTGGGCATTAATATGAGTTGTTGAACCCAGTACTTATGCTCTCCAGGGGACATCTGGGCATCCAAATATTATATAGCAATGGAGGTATAGAGAGGGAACCAGGAACACCACAAATACCCTAACCTACTTAAGAATGGGGGTAAGAGTAAACCTTGAATTCCCTCCCAGAGCCCTGATGGGGGTCAGGGGAGGCAGGGTGAGCCTAACATAGGGGACAAAGGACACAGATGGACAGGAAACTGCCATCTCTCTACCACCTGTGTTCACAATCAGGTCACCTGTGGGGTCAACACATGTGGACACCCAGCAGTGGACAGCTTTTTTCCTAAAATATGTCCCCAAGCATTAATTGAAAGTTTCATTATTTTATCTCTTTACCATTAGAAGAACCTTTTAAAAATTATTCTCTTGTGCTAAACACATTACCTCAGGTTCAATAATTCCGTCCACTTCACCCATTTCTTTTTCTTTACTTGAAGGTAAAAAAATTAAGCATTTTAATTTTAAAAGCTAGTACAGTATGATCCCATTTGTATGAAATTATTGCATTGACTCTGATCCCATCTATTGATCCTTCCATCTCTTTCTGTGCCAGCTGTCAAGGATGATCATTTCTAGATTGCACTGGGTTTTTCTATTCTGCTTTCATCTTTTAAAAATAATCAGCACTTATCATTTCTATAAAAGCAGTAGCCTTATTCCTTTTAAAGAATAAGGTGTATGAAAAGAAGCATTAACATTCTACTACTTAGAGTTGGATGTATCTTTCTCAATTTGTGAAAAAATATAGTCTATTGGCAATTATTGTGCATTTGTGGTGAAATCTACCCAGAGCCTAAAAAGACCTCAGCCAGAAAGGGAGGAGACAGGGAGAATACAGCCAAAGAGGAGAAGAGACAAGGGAGGCCTCCAGGTCAGGGACAGCCCATGGTTTCAGGGGAGTAGCCCCTCATGTTTCTGTGGCAGAAGACCCCTGGTTTCCATCACTATTTTCTCTTTGAACATCTTGTATATATGACTGGTGTTTGGCTTCTTTTGTATTCCTCCCTGTGCCTCCGTCAGCATTGTGCATCCAACAGGTGCTCAGTAAGTGCTTACTGGATGCACAGTTCCCAAGGGGGTCATCCTCCCTAAATTGCACCTCTTTGTCTTTCAGGCTCACAGGCTTTCAGCTGCCAGCCACCATCGTCAGCGCGGCCACCACCCTCTCTCTGCATCTCATCAGTGACTACGCAGTCAGTGCGCAGGGCTTCCGCGCCAGCTATGAAGGTAGGTGCCCCTCAGCCCCGGGCACAGGGGCCTGACATGGAATAGCCACAGGCAGAGCTGTGGTGCTCCTGGCTGCCGGGAAGGGTTGCTTCTGATTCAGAGCTTGCGCCTGTCCTGCCAAGGCTGGTACTGACCAGTAACTCAGTTACTTCAATTCCCAGGCTGTGTTTCTAGGAAGCTGAGAATTGAAATCAGAGCCCAGTGGCAATGGTTTGTCCTGAGGGCCTGGTAATGTCTACTTCTCTGTCCTCTTAACTGGGTTTTGTTATGTTTTTATTTTTTTTAATTCTATTTTCTATTGGGCTTAATTGTATAAGGTACATAAGCTTGGTTTTGGAAATAAGAGCGATATAAACCCTAAGTAAAAGCAATAAAGTTAAGTCACAGGAAAAAATTTCTGCTCAATATAGTGATGGCAAAGAGTCAGTTTTATATCATTCAGAGAAGAACAATTGCTACTTTTTCCTTAATAGCATGGATTAGGGTTTCTTGGTTTGAGTTATGCAAATAATTTCCACTTCTCTCAGCCTGTTTAAATATGGTGTTAGCATTCAAATTAACACTAATATCTTCAGATTATACACTATTATTATTATTAACTTTATTATGTTAGTTCAGAAGGTGGTACTTCTGGATCTCTGTCATTTCCCTGGGAAATTTACATTTCATTAATAGGTAATTATGCTGCTCTTGGCTAAGACCCACACTGCTATTTTGTGTTGAGATCATTAATGGGCTTATTTTAAGACTGTTAATGATAATTAATAACAGTAATGACATAATACCCTAGTAAAGCATGCCAGATATTCTAAAGCTTTCTTTCTCTTGCCTCCAAGAACTTGAAAAATAAGTGATGCTGGCTCACTCTACCTCTCTGAGCACGCCCTCGCTTTCCCCTCCTCTGTCTTATCCCCCTCCTCTGTCTTATCCCCCGAGGCCCCTTACCTTTGCCTTTCTCTCCCCTGAGCTCCAAGGGCCTTTTTCTGCCTCTGTAACTTGTTTCCTGTGCCTATGCAGCCCAGCCAGCTCACTTCTACTACCTCTGTAACTGTCTAGATAAACTTTCTCTCATTTGAAAAAAGTAGTGATGCTTTCTTGAATAGCATCTGTATTCTATAGCAATACAGAAATAGATCCCACCTTTGTCTTGGCAGAAATATACCACTGAAAGAGGGCACATCTTACCTTCTTGGCTCAATCCGCCCCTGGTGCTGTGGGGGACACAGTTTGATACTTTAACCTGAGCAATTGAGGGCTCCTAGAAGGTCTGTTATTTTTTCATTACAGCTTCCTGAGGAGGCTCCAGAGAAAGTTCCACATGCCTTTAACTGAGGGCTCCTGAAAAAACCTATGTGTCTTTTAAGGGAGGTGTCCTGAGATAACTCAATTTCCCTTTAAAAACAACTAGTTCCTCCAAGTATCAAGCCTGTAATCTTGGTCATGCTGGTTACATCTTTACCCTGAACCTCTGGTCCTGAATCCAAACCAGTTCTCTCCAAAGTTTGAGCTACAACTTCCTTCCTAAGGAAGACCTCTTCAGGAGCTTTCAGGAGCTTCTTGCGAGCTCTCTGACCCTGAGCTCCATCCACAGTATGTTGGCCGTGGGGAGATGGGCTGTGTTTGGGGAAGGCTGGAGAAATGAGGCAGTGACACCAGGGTCGTACGTACCTGCAGCGATCCTGTGTGCTGAGGGGCACCACTGGGCCCTCATGGTGACCGCCTTCAACATTCCTTGGAGATATTTGTCTGAGGCTGGGCTCTCATGAGACTTTAAGAAAAAAGAGTCCTATTTACTTGCTGACCTCACTGACCCCACCTGGGAACAGTGCCAACACTTCTCATTGGGCAGAGCCATTCTGAGGTTACAGTCGCAGGGCCCTTTGCAGCCAGAGGCTCCGGCCTGGACTTCATGGGCAGGGCCTGTAGTTGGGCATCAAAGGTTTGCAGACTCCTTGTAACTAGAGGCAAAATTCTGAAGGTATAAGGATGTATGTATTTTTTCCTAGGAAGGGTCTAGAAGACGGATCAACAAACTCAGCCTCCTCCCTCCCTCAGGGCTTCATCCAGCCGCTGGCTCCTTTTTGTAAATAAACTTTTATTAGAACCCAGACAAGCCCATTTGTTGACATATTGTCTGTGACTGTTTGCATGGATTACAACTTCAGAGTTGAGTTATTGCCACAGAGACCATATGGCCTGCAAAATCTAAAATATTTGCTCTGGCCCTTTATGAGAGCTGTGCTATGAAACACAGTAGCCATTAGCCACACAAGGCTATTTACATTTAAACTAATCAAAATTAAATACAGTTTAAAGTTCAGTTTCTCAGTCATACTGGCCTCATAGCAAGTGCTCAGTAGCCACATGTGGCTTGTGGCTGCCCTAGTAGACAGCACAGACAGAGAGCATTTCTATCATTACAAAAAGTTCGACTGCACAGAGCTGAGCCAGAACTTCCATCAGATTCACAAAGGGCCTGAGTTTCAAACAAGGCTGCAAGCCATTAGAATAAAATAGAAACCCGTGGGTCCTTCCTCCCACCTGCCTGGCACCCTCAGAGGCAGCCCAGTCGGGAGAATGCTCAGTGTTCCACAGGAGGACCAAGGGCAGAAGCAAGGGTCTGTCCTACATCAGCCACATGATGGTGTCAACTCTCTGAGTCATTGGCACTAAGTTGACAGAGCCTTGCAGGCAGGGCCCTGTCAAGCCCTGGACTGGTGCAAACAGGTTGCGGGGTCAGGCACAGAGAAGCCAAGGATGGGGTTATCACCAAGCCACATGGATCTGCCTTAGGACTGGACCACGGGGTAGTATGTGCATCTGGAAAAGTGGGAGTTGCACTGACTTTTGGAACAGCTGAAGAAGAAGGGCAAGGAGGGAAGGTGGGAGGAACCAAGAGGGGCAGCCACTGCTGAGAATATTGCTCAAGGTACATGCACCCAAAGTGGTGGCCTGGGCCCTTGCTATTACTGGACTTACTAGACAATCCCATATTTGGGAATTGGCTGATAAACACTAGCTTCTTGAGCTTATAACTGACCTTGGGTAGATTTTTAACAGCTCTCTGGGCCTTATTGTGGGGGCACAAGCAAGAGTCAGTATTCAAAAGGACTATGAAGATGTGGCTCTCAAGGAAGGAAGTCAGCCCTGTCTTCCATTTCAGAGTTCGCCTTCATCATTTGTGCTGAACAGCAGCAAACAGACAGGCAGGCAGACAGGCTGCATAGAAAGGGCCCCCTACTGACCTGTGCTGCCCCCACTCAGGACAGCTTCCTTAGAGTCTGTATTCAGGAAGTCACCGTACCCATTTCAAAATGACCCCAGGCCCTGCATTTAGTGACCTCCATTGGCTGACATCCCTGATAGTCTGCTATCAAAGCGAGTTTGTTCCTCCTCCGCTCTGTTCAGGAGAGTGAAAAGTGCAGATAAGGAACTGACTGCTACTGGGTTTTTAGAGAAAGGTGAAGTCGGGCGAAGAGTGTCAGCTCATAGCTGCTGCTGCTTCAAGGGGAAGATCAAAAAGGCCAGTCGTCAAATCCCAAGAAGATAGGAGATGCTTGATTTGCAATCCCAGGGAGCAAGAGCATGGGCTGCAGCTGTGGACTCGGGGGAAGGGGGTCAGCTTGTATTAAGCACTAACTATATGCCAGGCACTGAACATCTATTATCTCATTTAATCCCCACGACAGCCTGGTGGACAGATGTTGCTATCTTCATCTTACAGATGTACAAGCTGGGACTCAGGAGTTTTGTGTTCAGCTTAAGGCTACTTAATGGCCAGAAATGGCTTTTCTGGTGCTAAAGACTACACTGTTCTCTTACCCTGTGCTTCTGCAAAACTCCTGGAGTAAGGCAGAGATTGGTGACTACATTTCACAGGTCGGTAACCCGGAGCTAAGTCGGCGGCAGGGAATGACACAGGCTGGCCTGGGTTATTCCAGGGAGGCAGCAAGAGGTGTGTTCCAGAGCTTCTCAGTTCAGGTTGCTGGAGAAAGTATAGGATGCCCAGTTCATTTGAATTTTTAATCAAATTTTTAAAATTTGATTTTTTTTGTGTAAGTATATCCCCAATATTAGCTGGGACATACTTATACTAAAGAAATTATCTATTGTTCATTTGAAATTTAAATTTAACTGAGCATCCTGTATTTTTATTTGCTAGATTTGGCAACCACATTCTCAGTATTGATTCGCCAGGAGCCCTCACTCTACTCATCCCTCCTCCTGACTCCCAGATCTGCCGCTTCCTGCTTGCCCAGCTGGGGCTGCCCATCTACTACAGAGGGACTGGCCACACCTCTGCCCTTCCAGGGAGTGCACATCTAGACAGCTCTCTGTACACACACACACACACACACACACACACACACACACACACACACGTGCATGGGCAGATCCGTGTGCACTTGGGGTTATGCTGTGTGTGCAGTTCTGTAATCTGATTAATGAGGCCGACATTTTTCTGCGTTAATAAAAGTAGTCCTGATTTGTCCTTTCTAATGACTATCAGGGAGATAGCCGTTGTGGTTTGCATATACCATAATTATTTAACCAGTCATCTTCTGTGGACATTTAGGTGAAGAATATCCTTGTACATACAACTTAAACCCTCACCTAATTATCTTCTTAGAATAAATTCTTGGAAGTGCAGTTGCTGGGTCAACGATGGTGTAGAATTGTATGTTTTAATACATAATTGCACAGCGTCTTTAGAACAGTTATACTGATGCACACGTCCACCAACAGCGCACAAGAGGGCCCATTTCCCGCACTTGGCCTACATTGTATGTTGGTGAGCTTCAAATCAGTTTCATTGATTAAAGTGGGTGAAAAATACAGCCTCATTTGTGATTATAATTTGCATCTCTTTGATGATAGAGAAGGTTGAGCACCTGTCATCACTTACTGGCCATTTGTATATCATTTTGTAAATTGTCTCTGCCTCTGCCTACTTTTCTTTTCAGGTGTTGGGATTTTTTTCTTATCTTTTTTTTGTAAGT